GGTGTGTGTGTGTGTGTGTGTGTGTGTGTGTGTGTGTGTGTGTGTAGTGTGTTCCCTTTAATAAACTTAGTGAACTGAAGAAACTATTCTGACTTAGCACAGTGTATGATGTGTTGACCAAAAGTTTTCTACTAAACTTTTTTTCAATTTTTTTGATCGTCAGTGCAGCATATATTTAACACAGAAAATAAGTGCAAAATTTGGAAAGGAGAATAGAAATCTGCTCCTGACCACAATCCAGTGGAAACCACTATTATTGGTTAACAATTTTATGTAGTTACTTCATCTTTTTTCCTATGTCTTTTTTTTTTTTGGCATAGTTAAGGTTAGACTGTATGTGTAAGTTACAGCTTCCTTATTTTACTTGACAGTATCATGAAAGCATTTGCCATTACTATTATTACTAAAAACTCTATGGTACAGCTACTATGGAAAATATGGTGGCGGGCTGGGGATGTGGCTCAGCGGTAGCGCGCTCGCCTGGCATGCGTGCGGCCCGGGTTCGATCCTCAGCACCACATACAAACAAAGATGTTGTGTCCGCTGATAACTAAAAAATAAAATATTAAAAAAAAAGAAAATATGGTGGCATTTACTAAAAATAGAAATTGAAAATAGAATTACTATAATCAGCAATTCCACTTCTGGGCACATACCCAAAAAAATTGGAAGCAAAGATATCTATATAGCCATATTCATAAGCAACATTATTCATGGTAGTCTAAGTATGGAGACAACTCAGGTATACATTGACAAATGATAAATGACTAAACAGAATATTATATATCTATGTATATATGTATACACACACATGTATGTATAAATGTATAAAATGAAATATTATACAGCTTTAAAAAGGAAGGGAACTCTGACACAAACTACAACATGGGTTAGGGTAGTCAATAAAAGAAAATATTGTCTGGTTTCACTTATAAAAGGTACCTAGAGTAGTTACATTCATAGAAACAGAAAGTAGGTTGCTAGTTCCTAGATACTGGGGGAGGAGAGAATGAGGAGCTTCTAGTTAATGGAGGTAGAGTTTTAGTTTTATCAGATGAAAAGAATTCTA